TGTAGTGTTAAAAATCTATGAAAATATTTCGCAAGGATTAATAGTACATAGAAGTTGTGTTTGTTGAAATAGTTCAAGAGTTACACGTGGAATTTTCATTCGTCCAAAATATTCATGTAGAACGTGTCATCGCTGTTCGCAGGACGCCGCGCGGCCTGGAGGACGTGTCGCGCTACCCGCACCTGCTGGCGGAGCTGCTCGCGTCGGGGCGCTGGTCGTCCTCCGACCTGCAGAAGCTGGCGGGCCGCAACCTCATTCGCGTCTTCAGGGAGGTCGAAAAGGTCAGTCAGTACCCTCTGGCGAGATCAGCTGGGTCGTATGCACCCGCTGTCTGGAGGAGAATTCTAGCACTTTCACGGAATTCTAGCATGCTATCACAGAACCTCTACCAGCTTCAACAGTTACCTATTGACATGCATGGTCCATGGATTCATGAGGTTGTCGCCATAGTTGAACACGCCCATCCACTCGAAACAACGTGAAACAAGACAAACCAGACCATGCAACATGTTTCCAGTAATCAACAGTCCAATGTCGGTGTTGACGGGCCTAGATGAGACGTAAAGCATGGTGTCGTGCAGTCATTAAGAGTACACGAGTGGGTCTTCGGCTTCGAAATCCCTTATCGATAATTTCTCGTTGAATGGTCCGCACTCTGGCACTTGTTGATGGCTCAGCATTGAAATATGCAGCAACTTGAAGAAAGGTTGCACTTCCATCTCGTGGAATGATTCCCCTCAGTTGTCATCGGTCCCGTTCTGGCACAATCTTTTTGCGGCTGCAGCGATGCCGGAGATTTCCGATATTCACGTTACACTCGTGAAAGGGTGAACGGGAAAATACAAATTTCATCGCGACCTCAAAAGATGATATGCCCCATCTCTCTTGTGCCGACAACATCACCACGTTCAAACCCTTAAAATCGTGATAACCTGCCACTGAAGCAGCAATAACTGATCTAACAACTGTGCAAAACTTGTCTTATATAATCGTTGCCGGCTGGAGCGCCGTATTCTGATTGGTTCCAGATCTCTTTATTTCAAAACGCATGGCTCTACCACTTTTTTGGATCTCCAGTGCAATTCCAGGACGTGTCATGCTTTGCGTACTATTTCATTATACCATTCATTCATCTCCCGACGTGCATCCGACGAGAAAGGGTGCGAAGTTTGAAGATTGTCCTCCTTCAAAAATCACTCGCATTTGCAACTGAAGAGCCACATGGTTCTCTAATTTATTTAAATAAAAACATTAAAAACAGTGCCACCAACCATCAGCGATTCATTCTTCCCGAAATCTCACGAGATTGTCATTTCTAAACGAATGGCAGCTGGGAGTGAGATAATGTAATTGTGCCATGTACTTTTTCAACAGCAGGCGCGTGATTGCGGACACCCATTCCAGGCAACTGGCTCGTGGTGGATCAGTTATTACAAAATGCTGCTCATTAGGTTGTTTAGTATCCATCTAGTCCACTAATCATTTTCTTGAGGATTATTGTAGAGCTACATGTTATATATTTCGGTGAATATTGCTGTATAAATATAATTTACCTATAACCGCATTATGTTACTTAACTACAATAACATATCTCAAAAATAGCAACACATGCAACTTCAATAATAAATAATACATATCAATGACAAAAACAAAACCCAATTGATAGGCGGACTAAAGCACAAATAACACATCAGGGAAGTTACAAGTATCTACATCGAGAGTAAGGCACACCATGACTTTCATCTATCAGGGACGCGTGCAGTAGAACGTTCAGAGAATCATCTAGAGACCATCTCTTTCAAGTAGATCAACGTCTCACACGCATCAGGTCATATTCCGCAATGGCCATGACATGGGAAGAGGGTAGCGCGCGGAGAAATTTTGAAGTCCGCGAGAAGGGGCAATCAAACTGATATCTCACTATTATTCCACGGCTAGTCGGGGAATGAAATCTGATTTCTTGAATATTTATTACTTTAAAGTACAATTTCACTCCGCTTAAGAACGATGACCCGCTTAAGAAAGAAGTGATGCACACCATGACTTTCATATATCACTGACTCGTGCAGTAGAACGGTCATATTTCCTTCAATGGGCTTCGACAACTCTGACATGACATAAAGAATTGAAGCTTCCGATTGGATAACCTAGGCCCTTCTCATTCGCAACTGAGTAGTGTGTCAATCCCCATTATATCAACCCCTTAGAAATTTTAATCAGTCTGAACGGTTGGGAGATATGTCGATCCTTCATTCCCTTGTGACAGACTCCGACACCGAAGTGGGGTCACGGTTGCTGGACCGAAACCTAATCTGTGCTGGTGCGCCATTTGTGCTTCTATTGGCACTAATTATACGCTTCTATGCAACCTTCTATTCCTCGGATATTCACGGAAATTAATTAATCAACAAGTCTGTTACCATGAAATTTAACCAATGATACGAACATTAAGTATACTGTTTACCGTTGTCAAATTGAAGAACAAAAGTGCGTTACAAACGGAATAGCACACATGAACGACATTTTGTGTAACGAGTTGTTACTAGTAATAGATCTGTGAAAGTGAATCATGTTATGTAATATTCGTTTCCAATTAGTAATTTTGCTTCTGAGTATTCATAACAGGACGGGAAATTACACTTCTCCAATTAGCATGCTATACTTCTCTCAGCTTTTGCAAGTCCTGACGGAAACTTTGTACCGTATTCATATGCACTTCTGCTCAACATACCAATTCTATTTACGATATTTGCAATTAAATGATCTTACTAGATTGAAAATGTATATGAAGTATTAATATTCACAATTATGCAAAATAGTTTAACATTCACAAAACAAATATTTAACCTTAACATTAACAAAATATTTTAATTTGAAGCCATCTTAATCTCATTGAAAGAAAGTAGAGCCGAGAAGATTACAATGCAACAGCACGTGGCAATAAGTTAATGAAACTTCTCTTTTGCAAATGTTGCTTGTTTAATCCAATCGAACCCATTATTTATCTTTTTCCTCTTTTTCTTCACACAGTATTTTGCGTCCCTGATATATTGAAAGCAGACTTTTCTGTCTTCTCTTTCTAGCGGATATCCGCTTTATTCATTAAATTGTACACAATGTCTTTCCATTGGTACTTATATCCACCTTCCGCGCGAAAACTGTACTGTGTATACTGGCTTCAGAGACGCTAGTAAATTGTGTAGAACTCAAGCTATATTCTAGAGATTCCGATACGATATCTAGTTTATTTGACGATATTCCTTTTTTTCTTTTTGAGAACAATTACCTTCACAAATTCATAGAGGAAACACCTGTTCCCTCTACTCATCCCAATTACTCATAGGAGAGTGTTGCGTCGATATTTGCACACGCTAGAGAAGTGCACACAATTCTAGATAAATTTCTGGTTTTCATCGTACATCTGGTTTCCTCTGCAGGACGGGATGTTTTTAGAACAACTTCATTCACACATAGTGAAAGCCTTTACCTACTTCGGAGATACCTCTCCTTGTTAAGTACATCTGCCCGATTTGATTACCTGTAGCCATGACAGCACCGCACCCCATCGCCTCTTGTTTACGTGGGTTCGTGCGTGTGTGCGTGCGTGTGTGTATGTGTTGGTGTGTATGCGTGGCGAGCGTACACTTTGTGCTCAACCTTAATCGTTCCTTGAAGTTTTCCCTGTGAAGTATATAGAAGAGGATTCACAGTGACATTACTTAGTTTTTGATTTGGTAATGGCGTTCTAATGTGAACTGTGAAATAAATCTCTTCTGATCAGTATATACCCACGTAGTTACCACACCACACAATACATTCTACCAAAAGGATAGCTTCACGGGGTGGGCACCGAGGCTCTTCGGCCTTTATCCGCAGTCCCGTCCAGTACAAGAACACCTTCAGGCTGGTATCTGGATCCTACCAGAACGCAGTTACCCCTCTCAGGAATCTTCCTACTCAATGCCCGGGTGGGGCCGCCCTGCCAGCTCAGAGCTACTAACCAGAGCCCCATAACTCCCATATAACGTGGTGGGGACCATTACAGTGGCGCGCTCTAGAGCATCACCTTCTTACACGAACTAAAATACGAATTGCTACCAACGTTATTTAAAACGCGCGTATGTTCCCGGGACACAAACACATGCGCTAGATACAAAAGATCGCGCCGCTGTTCGCGTTACCTTTTCTTTCATGCGTGTATTATAATGAATAAATGAATTTTAGAAGATAAACACATAGTATTTAACTTCTTTTGTAATTTATTTCTGAAATCGCTGTGTATTCGTATTTCTTGACCAATTTTTATGTGCGAAAGTTGGCGAGCCTTATCAGCAGTTGTATCCGGCGACACTAGCGCACCCTATAGTAGCAACCTCTAGCTTTGTCCCCAATTTTGATGGAGAGTTGCAGGGCCCTGCTACTAACTTTCTAGACCAGTGCGGGTGTCGAATGAATGCGCCACTCAGAATGCGCCTGGACAAATCTCTCTTTCCCGAGTATCGGGCCACTGTCTCATCGAAGCCAAGTGTCCAAGTGGAAGCCACCTAGGCTAAGGCCCGGGAGGCTCGGGGCTCCCAACCCGTCTCCTCACTTCCTCCACCTTGAAGCTACTGACGTGAGTGCCACCGGAACCTAGGCAAAAGTGAAGGGGGGTTTCATATTACTCGTCTGGACTTTGAGATTCGCAATTAGTTTCACAGAGAATAGTGAACGAAAGCCAGATAAAGAACCCCGATCCCAATCCCGCCTAAAGATCGGTGGCGAGCCATCTACGCACTGCCTTCACCTTGAAGCTAACGACGTGAGTGCCTCCGTGAAACTCGCGTTCCAGGTGGCGGTTTACAATCCTCCACCAGGAACCGTGACCTCCGCAGTCAGTTCCCCCCTCCCCTGCGTGATATCTCCCAATCAGAAGTCATTGTTTTCTGAATGGTTTTCTGCATCTTTTCATCATGGTTGTCTGTACTTCTTTAGCTAATAACCACACCCTGTGTGCGCAGGTGCGAGACCGCCTGGCCGCCGCCCACGAGCAGCCGCTGGACGAGAGGATCCCCGCCCAAGACGTGTACGGGCGCACATACTGCCGCTTCCCCGAGACGTGACAAGCGCTCATGAGTGTAGGTATCGCATTCACCCAGTGGCGGTTTCTAAAGACAGAGAAGGGAGGAAATTTCTCCATGAAAATGTTCTTCTTTTGAATGTAATCAACAAATAAAATATTTGCATTGATATTTGAGGGAGAAATGTGTTCTTTTTTTGTTTAGACAGCACGAGAAAATTTACTTTGGGTTTTTAACTAAGAGCGTTTTTACTGTATCTACAAGCCTCGAAAGCGATTGAACTCGTCGAGGAAGAACTCGCATCGTTTCCTTCACTTGGGTAGTAATTGCCCGTACATCACAGCGCTCCTGTGCCCAGAAGTCAGAAAGATTTAATGGAGTCCTCCAGCTCCGTAAGAAAAGCTCCTGCTTTAATCTGTCATCCAGAGACGCATCTCTTTCAAGTAGATCAACGCTTTACTAAACGCCTCACACTCAAAGTCACATTCCGCAATGGCCACGACATGGGAAAAGGCTAAAGTCCGGCGTAATCTTGAAGTCCGCGTGAAGGGGCAATCAAACTGATATCTCACTCTTATTCCACGGCTAATCGGGGAATGAAATCTGATTTGTTGCATGTTTACTTTAAAGTAGAATTTTACTCCCCTAAGAAAGATTGCCCGCTTAAGAAAGAAGCGAGGCACACCATGACTTTCATCTATCACTGACTCGTGCAGTAGAATGGTCATATTTTCCTCAATGAGCTTCGACGACTCTCATGACATAAAGAATTGAAGCTTCCGATTGGTTAACGGTGCCCCTTTTCTTTCACAACTGAGTGATGTGTCAATCCCCATTATATCAACCCCTTAGAAATTTTCCTGGCCATTGATTCATGAGTGCATGAAATAGCAGGGTTTCCATCCCCTCCCACACCACGTGACACATCCTCATCCACCGCTTTTTATAGAAGTCATAAACAATTTTTCTTCTGCTGTCTTTTTAAAAGGAACGCTATTTACGGTATTCACAATAACTTCACCATGAAGGTTGTATTATGCCAGCAAATTTTCATATGGTATTGTGACCATTCTCGCATTTTGGATAAAATATTGTTCGCCTTATTTCAAAAACCTTTCAGAGAAAGCGAGCAGCTAGAAAGTCGATGTGTTGATTTGTAACTTTGGGGCCCCATGGTTAAAACGTTGGGAAACCGCAATAAAAAAAACATGTCCATTCGCTTAATAATAAATATAATCTAACAAGTTACACCTATTACCAAGTTAATTTTAGTATTCAAATCCTCCTTACTTGTTATCCTTTGAAACAACAAATTAAAACAATGGAAAACACGGCAACATAATATAACAAATGAGTCTTATTATTCAAATAAAGATGTTGCACGTATAATGTTACAAATTATTACAATAGGAAGTTTTCCCATATTTGTTTGCTATTCAAGCATAGTATAACATCCAACTGATCCTCCTAATATTTGAATGGTTGCAGTGACCAAACAAACACATTCTCCTCTCAAGTCTGTGAAAAAGTCTGCGTCAATACAATACATTCCTTAAACTTCACTATAAAATTTATTTAGAGCAACAGTTTAAGTATTCTATTTCTTGCAATTTAATACCTAGGAATGTAGCAAAGTTGGCATTTTATTCTAAATATGAGTATTTGAGTACAAACATTTAATCTTAGAAACTGAATGTGTGAAGTGGTAAGAGTCTTGCATCTTGTTCTCTTCACCATTAAAAGATTGCCCAAACTAAGTTCAAAATTTATTAGATAATACTTTAGCATGTATGTACAATATACACAAATAAGAAAATATTACTTCTAAGCTATAGAAAGTAAAACAGCACATAAATATATTTGACAATGGAAACAAAGAATTTTAAAAAATTTTGGGCCCCCCAAGGTTTAACTAGGTGCTTGTGTAAAATCATGACAGGTTTTCAGCAATCTGAGAAGGAGAAACTAAGAAGATTTTCAATATGTTTAGCAATGATTAATTATCATTGTTAGCCTCATCATTGTGTTTTCATCGAGAGAAGACTATATTCATCAAGAGGAAGAAACCTGTTTCCTGTTATTGAGATAT